CACGATCGTTATCTAAGACATATACTCTTGGGCAGCTTGGGGAAGAAGATGTGGCTGATCGTGGAATTATGGTCCGTGCTATGGAGGATATTTTAGCTGAAGTGTCGTTGGAGACGGATTCTATATCTGTCTCCTATTTGCAGCTTTATATGGAGACTGTACAAGATCTTCTTGATCCGTCTAATGATAACATTGCTATTGTTGAGGACCCGAAAAATGGAGATGTTTCTCTTCCAGGTGCCACTTTGGTCGAAATTAGGGATCAACAAAGCTTCCTGGAACTACTGCAACTCGGAGAAGCTCACCGGTTTGCTGCTAATACCAAACTGAACACCGAGTCATCTCGTAGTCATGCTATCTTAATGGTGAATACTATCGATCATGATTTTCCTTGGAGAGTTGTTGGTAAAAAAAACTTGCGTATTCATAGTCAAAACTAAATTGCAGGTAAATGTCAGGCGCTCTTTGAAAACAAGAGATGGCTTGTCAAGTGAAAGTAATGGAAACTCCCATATGACTAAATCTCTCAAGCCTCCTGTTGTCCGGAAGGGAAAATTAGTTGTGGTGGATCTTGCTGGGTCGGAACGTATCAATAAATCAGGTTCCTCATCTACACTCTGATAATAACCAACTTGAACTTCAAAGTTATATAGTGAATGACTTTGTGTTACTAGTTATCTTTTTCTTGAATCTGAATTTTTCTTTGTTTACATATTTAACCAGGAAGTGAGGGACATACACTAGAGGAAGCCAAATCTATCAATCTTTCTCTGAGTGCACTGGGGAAATGCATCAATGCACTTGCTGAAAATAGTTCTCATGTTCCATTCCGTGATTCAAAGCTAACTAGATTGCTTAGAGATTCATTTGGAGGTAAGTTAGTCTCTGCTGTCTGTATGCATTTGTATCTTTTACTGTCATGGTTTTCTATTGAATCTTTTTCAATTTTTTACTATGTTGACTTGCTTGACATGTGGCCTATGATCTCAACAGGCACTGCAAGGACCTCTTTAGTTATTACAATTGGTCCATCACCACGACATCGAGGGGAGACAACGAGCACTATAATGTTTGGGCAAAGGGTATGGACCATAGCTTTAGACTTCTTTTTTTTTGTTTGATTATTACTTTTATGGTTAATGATTTGACCAGACAAATAGCATGGATCTTTTAGTAAAAGTTGGCATATATAATGGTACTGTCCTGTTTATTTTGATGGCTATGTCTAACTTTTAGGTTTATTTATATTATAGGCTATGAAAGTGGAAAATATGGTGAAGTTAAAGGAAGAGTTTGATTACAAAAGCTTGTCTAGAAGACTTGAAGTACAACTAGACAATCTAAT